AGAGATCTGCTACACAGGCTAGGTTCAGATCTGCCTTACTTGGGTTGAGAACATAACAGAATCACAGGATGATTGAGATTGGAAGGGACCTCTGGAGATCACCTGGCCCAATCCCCCATGCTTGAGCATGTTGCCCAGAATTGTGTCCAGGAAGCTTTTGAATATTTCCAAAGATGGAGGTTCAACAGCCTCTCTGGTAACCTGCTTCAGTGTTCTGTCATCCTCTAATTAAGAAAGAACTTTTCATTAGTTTAGACAGAACTTCTTGTGTTTCTGTTTGTGCCTGTTACCTCCCCATTCTGTCACTAGCCACCACTGAGAAGAGTCTGGCCCCATCCTCTTGACACCTTCCCTTCAGACACTTGTACACGTGGATAAGATAGCCCTGAACTTTCTCTCTACAAGGCTAAACAAGCTTAGGTTGCTCAGCCTTTCCTTACACAAGAGATGCTTCAGTCCCTTCATCATCTTCATGGCTCTTTGCTGTGCTCTCTCCAGTAGCTCCATGTCTCTCTTGTACTGGGGAGCCCAGCACTGGACACAGCACTCCAGATGTGGCCTCACCAGGGCTGAGTAGTGGGGGAGGATCACCTCCCTTGACCTGCTGGCAACAGTTTTCCTAATGCACCCCAGGATACTTCTGGCCTTCTTGGACAGAAGAGCACATTGCTGGCTCACAGTCATCTTGTTCATCAGAACTGCCAAGTCCTTCTCTGCGGAGCTGCTCTCCAAATGGTCAGTCCCCAGCCAGTACTGGTGCCTTGGGTTATTCCTCCCCAGGTGCAGGACCCTGCACTTTGTTGAACTTCATGGGGTTCTTCTCTGCCCAACTCTCCAGCCTGTCCAGACTTCTCTGAATGGCAGCACAGCCCTCTGGAACATCAGCCACTCCTCCCAGTTTTGTATCATCAACAAAAATGCACAAAGATCTGAGGGTGCATTCTGCCTCTTGGTCCTGATAAATAAATTGAACATGACTGGACTCAGTATTGATCCCTGAAGGACACTGCTGCTTACCACCCTCCAGACTGTCTTTGCACCACTGATCACATCCCTCTGAGCTCTGCCTTTCAGGTGCTTCTCAGTCCACTTCACTGTCTGCTCATCTAGCCTGTACTTCATCACCTTGCCTATGAGGATGTTGTGGGAAACAGTGTCAAAAGCCATCAAGGTAAATGACATCCGCTGCTCTCATCTCATTTACACAGACAGTCATGCCATCATAGAAGTCTATCAGATTGATTAAATATAATTTCTCCTTTGTGAATCAATGCTGACTACACCTTCTTGAACCTCATACACTTAGAAATGGTATCCAGAATTAGCTGCTCCATCAGTAGAAGTCAGCAATATGCTGTTGAAAATTAGCAAGGGATTGGAAATGAAGCCAGAGAGCTTTCCCACAGAAGGTGACTTGTGAGGGAAGATGGGCTTGGAGCATGGCAAGAGGCACAGAGCAGTGCGAGATTGTCAAACCCAGTGCTCTGGTAGCATTTCTGCCCCATCAGCCTCCTGACATGGGGCCACTGTGCACAGCTGAATATGCTCCTGAACATGAAACAGACTATTGCAACTGCACGTGGCAAATGTGAGCACTGCCTGCAGCAAAATTGTTGCAGTTACAAAGAGGGAGCCCACTCTTAACAGTGGAAATGAGACTGGCGTGTTCTCAAATGCTGTGGCAGCATGTTTCCCAGCTTGGCAGCTCTCCTGATCTGTGCTGGCTGCAAATCATAGGTGTGATCAAATAGCTAAAATAATGTCTCCAGAATAATACAGCATGGTTATGCCAAAGTATAATATGGCTGAAAAGGGTTAGTGTTCTGCCCATGTGGTAAAAGCGTGGTTCTGCTCATCTGTACTAAATTTATCAGACTTTTTGTAGTTAGAATAGGAACTAGAATTTTCCTACAAAAGTTTCTCATCAGCTTTTATTCAGTTCTTTTTATTAAATAGAATTACTATGCTTCATCAGCACAAGTGAGTGTGACCTGCTAGGACAAAAGAGTCTTTCTGGAAAGGTACTTTAACTCAATCTATTGAACACACTTCCTGCCAAGTGTTTCAGCATCACAGCAGGACAGATAGCAATCCAAGTTACATTACTCTCACAGCATCACCTGTCTGCTCTGCAATGTATCTTGAAAAGATGTGTTAAATTGATGCTTAAAGTGTCATTCACAGATATTTGTGATATTGATTTATTCTTCCATAAAGCAGCCTGAGCCTTGTCCATTGAATTTTTCAGATTCCTGAATCAGATCCAAACAGTCTTCCCCCACTGGATCCACCTGATGTTAGCCAGATCTACCCAGTTCCTGCTAACATCCGACCTGTTTTGAGCAAATACAGAGTGGAGGTGAGTTACAATATTTCTGCTGCTTCAGAATCTCCCATCCTAACATTCCCTACTCAACTGTAAAGCTCTAATTGTGGTGGAGATGAGGTTTAAATTGTAATTAGCAGGAATCACATAATACAAAAAGCGTATGACTTGCCAAGCACATGGGTAAGGTCAGATCATCTTGATTCTTGGGCGCTGGACATCAAGGCAGTGCTGCTTCCTGCAGTCAGTCAGGCCTAGATTACAGTCACAGATGGAGGGAGCAACAGCTAATGCGGTAGCGTGAGCGTGCTTGTCCTGCCTCTCCTCTCCCATGGGAACTGCTTGTGCGACACTGAGGCCATCCCCTGGCACCTGACCTTGCTCTCAGCAAAGTCCGTCATCAGCCACCTCCCAAGCCTTTCTGAGTCCCAATTTTCAGACAGGAGATGTCTCCTGCCTGTCTATGAGTGTCTGCATCTTCTGCCTGCTCCTCTACCAGACACCATTTGAGCCAGCTGTCCTGTTATGCTAAAAAGCAGGGAAAAGTGGCAGCTTTTCGTCTGTCCGGACAATGCCTGGATTCTGCCCAACCTCATCACTCCTTCACGCATGCTGCAGCCTTCATATGAGCAGGAGCTCCAGGAGCTCCATATTCTCTGTATGTAGGAAAGAGGTTTTTTTAGTACTGCAGCCTTCATATGAGCAGGAGCTCCGGCGCTGTTCTTGATTTGCCTTCAAAGACCAAGCCATCAAGCAGTGCAAAGGAGAGACAGAGCTCTGCTGCATCCTTCAGTTAACTACTCTTCTCTCTATGTAGGAAAGAGGTTTTTTTAGCGGTATGTCTTTTATGCCCAAGTCTATGAGGTAAACAAGGCCATGAACTACTGCTAAAGGGACAAATTAAATCCTGAAGCTTAAGTGTTTCTGTAAATAATGTGCTGAGGGCTTCCCACTGCCCCTGCAGTAGGATTGCTTTGCGCTGCTCCAATACTTTCCTTCTGACACCACTGTGAAATACCCACTACCAATTTCTGCCAGAACGACTCCCCTTCTCAATGTGATGCCTCAGGCTTCTTAAAACCAGGCAAATTGTGTCTAGATTAGATAGTTTAAGTGCCATGAGAACATGTTTTTAGTTGAAGTGCATGCATGTTTATAGGATTAAGCATATTTTCTGGAGGGTTCCCAGCAAGGAAAGGATATGACAGGGTAAAGATAACGCAAGTATTTATAGGATTAAGCATATTTTCTGGAGGCTTCCCAGGAAGGGAAGGAAGAAAGGATACAACGGGGTAAAGATAACACAAGTACGTCAAGATACTATGGACATTCCACACCAAAGGAAATTGCAGTGGAGCCCTTGTACCCTTATGGGAATATTCTCTTTCAGCTAGGAAATCCTGGCAGTAGAGCAGGAGCTGACAAATCCCCCACGCTGCTCCAGGACCTTCTGCTACCGAGGGCACTTTGGGAGTTCTATGAGATTGTTGCATCCCACTTCCCCCACGCTGCTCCAGGACCTTCTGCTGGCACTTTGGGAGTTCTACGAGATTGTTGCATCCCACTCACACCAGTCCCCTGTCCTCTGAGCATGCAAGGCACCCTTGTGCTTGCTTTCCATTCCAGTCTTTTTGGATTTATGAGGCTCATAGCTTCACTCACTGACCTTTAATTTTACCTCCTATCAGAAAATGTCAACCAAAGTTTTTCCATCACTAAAAGCCCCAGTCCTCTCCTTCAGGACCCTCTGGCAAATACCAAATAGAGCCCCATTTTTTGCACATCCGTAGTTTACAGAACCAGCCTTCTCCAAACCAGGAGGAGTTTTCCATGCATCTCCCTCCCTCATAAGATACTACAGGTTCACAGCAGAGGCTTCTCTCATACTTAAGAATCTCTGTGTGGTTCTGATCACTTCTCTCTGCCTGCAACAGGTTCTGTTCTGGGGCGTCCGCGAACTGAAGAAAGTCCAGCTCCTCTCTGTAGATCGGCCGCAGGTTCTCATCGAATGTGCAGGGAAAGGGGTGAAATCCTCTGTCATCCAGAGCTACAAGAAAAATCCCAATTTCAGTGTCCTTGCAGACTGGTTTGAAGTGGTGCGTACAGCATACTGCTCCTTGCTTGTCCTTTTTCTGGGTAGGCGCGGTGTTAATTATTAATTTCCATCCTTTCCTATCAAATCATCTCTTCTATGTCTTGATTAAATATTAAGGAACATAACTTCTTATGGAAAAAGCTTATGATTCAAATATGATTTAAAAGACCTCTGATACAAATGTATGATAAAAGATGATGATGTTGCTAATCATATCTCAAGAAGGTAAGAAAATATCTTGCAATCAAGATTTTGCTGGTAGGTTGGAACTTTTATTATCCAGATAATGGATATTTTTAGTACTTCTCCTCCTCTCCTATTTTTCAAGGTAGAGCTTAATTTCCTGCATTTTTTTCAGCTCTCTTAAGTCTTCTTAATTTTCCCTTGTGTGCTCCTGGGCTTTTAAGTGGATGGAGCATATCTGGCTTATGAGCTCTAGACCATTTCACATTGTAACCCTTGATATTATGAACCAGGAGCTTTATTATTTTTCTGCTATTTGAGTTATAACAGCTGTTAGTTTCACTAGGCAAAGATCAATATGAGAAAAAAATGTCAGCTGATTTGCTCTAATTGACATCACCCCTACGGGTAGAAGTATATCTGCAAGAAGACACCAGGATATGAAAACCTCTACAGTAGTGCCTGGCATTAATACAACCTCCAACCCATTCCGTCTGAACGTTCCTGATTCTCACAGAGGGCTGATGTGATGTGTTTGTCTATGACAGCACAGGACTGGACTCAGTAGCACAGCCTAGGTTGAATAATTTTACATTTTGAGTGTAGTGATTGCTGTGGAGGAGAAGAGAGGAAGGAATATCATCCTCATAGCTCTGCATGACACATACCCTGTAGCATGATCTCTGTCCTCTCAATTCTCATGTTGCTGTCTGTCATCCTTCCCTAGGAGCTGCCTGAAAATGAACTCCTGCATCCCCCGCTGAGTATCTGCGTAGTTGACTGGAGAGCGTTTGGGAGGAGTACCCTTGTTGGCACGCACACCATAAACTGCCTTAAGCAATTCCTGTTTAAGGCCCAGCTGGGTCCGCAGAACACATCAAATACACTAGACATTGTAGAAACTGACAATGGTAAATGTCCCGTCCTGACCTTGGATGAAAGAAAAGAGCACTGTTTCATGAAAACAGTGAAGGGTCTGCTCAGAGACTCAACAGTAGGCATGTGCTTAGAAGAAATGCTGATTTGGGGTTACATGAGATCAAACCTCATCTGACTTGCAAAATTTCAATTTCAGCTTCCCCTGAGTCCTCCCAGGCTGCTGAGTTATCCCTAGCAGAAGCTCCTTCAGCTGATCATATCTATGTTGATGTGGAGCATGGTCAATCTACGGTAGTAGAGCCAGAAGCAGACCCTGCACCTCTTCCTGCTCCTCAACCAGAATGCTCTGGCTCTCAGTCAGGGAAAGACAAAAAACAGAAGGTGAGCATTGCTGAAGCTGCCAGCTAACTTGTAATTAGAAATGTTATTATTTCTGTTTCAGTCTTGTAGATTGGATGCATTCTTGATGAAATGGTAACATTTCATCTTAAACTCAGGATTAGCTATGACATCCTCGGATGCTGTAGCAATAGCAGAGCTGTTTTTCAGATAACAATTTGCTGGGAATTCTGGATATGGCTGGGAACACGCACAGTATTTTGCTGGCCCTTGAGAGAACTAGTTAGCAAAGCTGCTTTAACCTTACATCACTTCATTGTAATTCCATTAATAGATATTGTCTTTTCTTCCTTTTGTGATAGATGTTCCTCCCATAATTGATCACCACCAGAGTAGTGGATTTTTTTTCTTTTCCTGTCTTTAAACGATCTACTTAATTGAAAGACTGTCACTATGAATAGCTGCTTTATGTCTATGGTGTTTAGGCAGCATGAGCACTCCACTGCGTTAGATGTTGTACAAACATTGAGTAGAAAGAGTCTGCATCCCAAAGAGCTTACAGTCAAAGTTAAAACTAGTGTCAGTTGGTGGGTACAAGCCTACAGGGAAACAAGGCAGTACTGGTCACCGTGACAGCTACAGTCCTAGTATATGTTCTAGATCATAAACATTTTTTTTGTGTGTTCAGATGCATGTACTAGAGTTCTTTTCTTCACTGCAGTTTCTCCTTTTACCATCACTCTTTCACTGATAGCAATAAAAGCAGAGGAAACTGGTTGGAATGACATTGCAGAAGGTGTTTCTGCAGGAGCGTAAAGCATCCATTTCTTCTAGCCCCTGGTTTATGGATGGTCAGGTGTTTCTAGTATTCTTAATAATTAGAAGGTCAAGGAAGCAGCTACCGTATCTGAATCTTTCATCTGTTACAGGATAACTTTTATGTGCAAAGGCATATTAGGAAAAGATTTGTATATGGAACCCAGTAATTAACCATCTATGTCATATTAATTATCGCTGCCAACTTTCTGTCTGTGTTCCTACCTCTACAGCCACATTGACAACTCTTAGTGAGAGTATAAGATGAAACACTCTATTTAACAAGGGCAAATATTCTTAAACAAGAATGAAGCTAGTATGATTTGCTACATTAAGAGGTGACTTTCAGAATTAGTTTTTTTAGCTTTTATGTAAGGAGAAAATGGTTGAATTGTGGCAGCTGCTGAGAATCTCTCTTCTTCCAAAAGGCAATGCAGTAATAATGGGAGTTCTTACAATATTTGCAAACTTAAAAATCTCAAAGTGGAAGAAGCCAGTTTATATCAGGATTCTTAGATCATAATTGCTATTATCCTTGAAACAGCATTACTATTTGTCTGGGTAGATATGCTTTTTGTGTGGGTTGCTCCTGTACCAATACTTCAAATAACCAAGTTTTGGTATAAGCAGAAAGTAAGGCAGAAACTACTTTAATGATCATGATGAAATTTCTTGGAATAAAAGAGAGAGAAACTTATACATATTAGTTAGCTCTTGGAGGTCAAAATATTATCGCTATATACCTATTCAAACTCGATGTCTTGGTTCAGGTGATTTTTAACCAGTCCTACAGTTTGACAGTGCTTTCTTTCTGCTTTGCTAGGACTTGAAAAAATCCATCCGACGGTCAACAAAGAAGAGAAGAAGAACAATTGCAGATGAATCAGCTGAAAATGTTATTGACTGGTGGTCAAAATACTATGCTTCTGTGCTCAAAATGCAAAAAGTAAGTCATCCAGCATCTCAAAACTCACATGGATGAGCAATATTATAAAATAGATTTACAGCTAAATGAGGCTTTTTTTTTTTTGCTACTACATTCATACTAAGAAGTTTGTTCATCATCTTTTTCTTTTGAAAGGCAAAACGACTTTTTTCCAATGAGGGAAAACCTGAGAACAGTGAGTGAATTGTTCTAATTTTTATTACTAATGTTTTGCATCTATTCTATATTACTGTTCACAATAAATACCTGATCCAGAATTATGCCAGTAAGACTCTCTCTATAGCTGATCAGACAGTGGGTGCATTAAAACTTCACAGGTGATGCTGAGGTAACACAAAAATATCATGCACAAAGTTTTTCAGATTCTATGCCCTAAAAGATGGAAAGTGGAGATTATTGTAACATAGGTTGCATAACAGATTCAGAAAAACACACTTCATTTTAAATCCAACTAAGGATCAATGACAGAGAAATAGATTTCACTAGGGAAGTCCAAAGGTCTCACTCTCGTAGCTGCTGAGCTTTGGGTTGTCTTAGGGTTGATGGGAAAACCTTATGTACAAGAAGCTAAAAGAATTTGGTTCTGTATGTGTGTGTCTATGTGCATGATATATGAAATGAAATATTCCAAGGCTTAACATACCCCTCACAGTGAAACTGAGCTCTAGTGAGTTATGTTAACTAGTACAACTACTTGAGCAGACTGAGAAAGGAAACAAATGTTCACTGTTTGCACACAGTTGCTGTTCAGTCTTAAGCTATAGCATATTTCTATGCCAGGGCTGACTGCACTTCACCTGAGATCAAGGTGATTTCTATTTTAAAGGAGGTGTGGAGATTGCTCTGATTGGAAGACTCAATCTAAATGTCAGACTTTGTATTCTGGAAATGGCAGCTGACAGTGTTTCAGTGATCACCAGGGTTGCTCAGAGACAAGACACAGATGAGTGTCTGAGCAGAGCTCACTTTTCCACAGGGGAGAAATATTTACACAGAAAACATTATACAAAGGTGTAATGTTCAGTTACAATTAGATTTTTGCTTGATGTTGTAACATCCACCCACATGCTATTCAGGCAGTTGTGTCAGGTTTTCTTGACTGATGACTTCAGACCCTGTAATATCTCTTTTATTTTTTTTTTCCAATGTAGCTTAACCTATGATTGTGCCATGCATATATGACAACACTGAGATATGTATATATAGTTCTAAATATTTGCTGATATTGATGTCAAAGATATATGAACTGCTCAAAAAAGCAAAAGTGAACTGATCTCAAAATCCAGACCTCAGCCCAAGAAACTGAACCATAATGGAATCGTCTTTGAGAACTTGTCTTGTTCTTATTGGGAAGTCCCCTCCCAGTTTAGAGTCTGGCTTGAGGCTGACTTTCCCCCCATTTCTCATACTGCTGGACTTTCCCAAAGAGAGATAAGCTTTGTCATGCCATCGAGTAGAGAAAAGCTTCAGTGACTAGGAAATCAGCCAGGGGATTTCTGCTTTTAAAAAAGCCTTAAATTTTGCATGAAATACTAAATTCTGCATGATACTAAGATATATTAGTTCATGTCTGGAAGGACAGAGAGAGAGGTAGGAACAGAGTATTGTAGCCAGCAGGCAAGAAATGAGACAGGACGACACAAACGTCATCATGAAGACTGAGTCAGCCACAGTCTGGTAAAAGTGCCACCTTTCTGTCTGGGAGGAGTGATGGGAAAAGAGAGGACCTGCTGCTTGGCAGTGAATGGAGGAGGAGGGAGAGGGACTCCTTGAGCTGTGGTTTCCATTTGAAAACAGAAAATCTTTCTACTTTTTTCACCTTTTCAACTCTGATCTGGAACATTTGATTGTCATCCATCACTAAAAACCTAAATGGCATCATGACATTTCTGCAGATAAGCAGACTTCTGACCACATTGCATTGAACGTAGAAGAGGAACCCGACAAAAAGAAGAAGGATAAGATGTTCAGAAAGAAACTGAAGGAAGAGGCTCCCAGCCTAGCAACACTGAAGGTAAGAAAGAAGGCAATAAGTAAGGATGCTACTCACTGTCTCCACAAGGCTTATCCTTGGGGACCAAGTTAAATATTGCTCTCACATGCATTTATTTCAGACATTTTGAATAAAACACAAAATAATAGTGGTGGTGCACATCAGTGTATGGGGTCAGGAGAGCCAAGGCCATGTAGCCTCACTTCACAGAATCACAGAATCTCAAAATGGTTGAGGTTGGAAGGGACCTCCAGAAATCATCTAGTCCAATCCCCCAGAACCCACCTAGAGCACATGCTACAGGGTCACATCCAGGCAAGTTTTGAAGATGTCCAGAAAAGGAGACTCTGCAACCGATCTGGGCAGCCTGTTCTAGTGCTTTGTCACTCTCACAGTAAAGAAGTTCTTCCTCACATGAAGATGGAACTTCCTGTATTTAATTTGTAAATTGTCCTTCACCTTGTCCTATCACTGACTACCATGGATAAGAGTTTGGCCCCATCATCCCTACATTCTCCCCTAAGGTACATATACATATTGATCAGATCTCCTCTCAATCTTAACTTCTCCAGGCTAAACAGATCCAGTCCTTTAGTCTTTCCTCATACGATAGATGCTCCAGTCCCTCAGTCATCTTTGTTGCTCTGTGCTGGACCCTCTCTAGAAGTTCCACATCCCTCTTGTCCTGGGGAGCCCAGAACTGCACCCAATACTCCAGATGCGGCCTCACCAGAGCTGAGGAGAGGGTCAGAATCCCCTCCCTCCACCTGCTGGCAACATCCTCCTGCTGCAGCCAGGATCCCATTGGCCTTCTTGGCCACAAGGGCACATTGCTGCTTCATGGTTAACTTGTTGTCAACCAAGACTCCCAAATGCCTCTCTGTGGAGCTGCTTTCCAGCAGGTCAACCCCTAATCTGTACTGGGGCCTGGGGTTATTCCTCCCCAGGTGCAGGACACTGCCCTTGTCCTTCCTGAACTTCATGAGGTTCCTCTCAGCCCGACTCTTCAACCTGTCTAGGTCCCTCTGAATGACAGCAGAGCCCTCTGGACTGATGGCCACTCCACCCAGTTTGGTATCGTCTGAAAACTTGCTCAGGGTGCACTCTGTGCCCTCATCCAAGTCATTGATGAACAACTTGAACAGCACTAGGCCCAGTACTGAACCTTGTGGGACACCACTGGCCCCAGGCCTCCAGCTAGACCCAGCCCCGTTTATCAACAGCCTCTGAGCTCTGTCATCCAGCCAGTTCTCAATCCAGCTCACTATCCATTCATCTATACCACACTTCCTGAGCTTTTCCATGAGGATGTTATGGGCAACGGTGTTGAAAACCTTGCTGAAGTCAAGGTAGACAACATCCATGGCTCTCCCATCATCCAGCCAGCCAGTCATCCCATCGCAGAAGGCTATCAGTTTCGTCAAAAATGATTACCCCTTGCTGAATCTATGCTGACTACTCCTGATCACCTTCTTTTCCTTCACATGCCTAGAGATGGTCTCTAGGATGAGCTTCTCCATCACCTTTCCAGGGATGGAGATCAGGCTGACTGGCCTCTAGTGTCCCGGCTGCTCCATCTTGCCCCTTCTGAAGACTGGAGTGATGTTGGTTTCCTCCAGCCCTCTAGCACCTCCCTGCCCTCCATGACCTCTCAAAGATGATGGAGAACGGCTGAGCAATAACCCCCACCAGTTCCCTCAGCACTCTTGGAAGCATCCCATCTGGGCTCGTAGATATACGGTTGCCAGTTTGCCTAAATAATCCCTAACCCAATCCTCCTTGACCAGCGGAAAGTCCTCCTCTCTCCTGGTTCTCTCTCTTGTCTCCAGGCTCTGTAGTTCATGGGGACTGGCCTTAGCAATAAAGACAGAAGCAAAGAAGGCATTTAGTAACACTGCCTTCTCTGCATCCTGCGCCACCAAGGCACCCTCCGCATTCAGCAGCAGATTAACATTTGCCTTAGTCTTCCTCTTGCTGCAGACATATTTATAGAAGCCCTTCCTGTTGTCCCTGACATCTCTCGCTAACTCAAATTCCAAATGTACCTTGGCCTTCCTCATTGCATCCCTGCATTTCTTGACAATGTTCCTATGTTGTTCCCATGTGGTCTGGCCCTCCTTCCACATTGCGTATGCTCTCTTTTTTTCATTAAGTTTTTCCCAACAGCTCCTTGCCCAACCACACAGGTCTCCTGCCCCCCTTGCTTGACTTTTTTCTTGTAGGAATGCACCAATCCGGAGCTTGGAGAAAGCGGTGCTTGAATATTAGCCAACTCTCCTGGACCCCCTTTCCTTCTAAGACCCTGGCCCAGGGGATTCCTCCAAGGAGCTCCCTGAAGAGGTCAAAGTTAGTTCTCTTGAAGTCCAGGGTTGCAATCCTACTTCTTGCCCAGCTTCCTCCTTGCAGGATCGTGCATTCCAACATCTCATGGGCATTGCAGCCAATATTGCCCCCAACCTTCACATTACCCACTAGACCATCTCTGTTTCCTCCCCTTGTTGGCTCATCAGCCACCTGCATCAAGAAGTTTTCTGCAGTGTTCTGCAGGACCCTCCTGGACTGTGTGCTCCTAGCTGTGTGATTATCCCAGCAGACATCAGGGTGGTTGAAGTAAACCACTTGGCCTTGAATTCACCAATGCAGAGGTAGATGTTGAGACTGAGGCCAAAATTCAGCTGTGGTGCTCTCCTTCTGTAACATACCTAATTATTACTGGCATTAATTCACTGTGAATATCAGGTTCTTCTCCCCTCTTCTCCATTGTTGCGATGTTCAGAATATAATTAATCAAATGTATCTCTGTAACATGAAAGCACTTCACCTAGCCAAGTCCCTTAATTGTTTTAAAGTTTGGCTTAAAAATATCTTTTCTGGAATGGTGTCAGCACTGAAATGCAGTTGCTGAGGCATGTCATTTTGGAAATGTTGCAGTGTATTAAGAAAGAATGGAAAACATTACTGCTGGTGCATCCTCCCTGATGGTGAGGCAATATTCAGCTTTTGTTAGATAAGCTTGAGCAACGGCAGAAGGCATTCAAAGGAAATGTTGTGGGTCATGCAGAATGACTGGAGAGATGTGAAGGTCTGAAGAGATGAGGACTGCTTGGATTAGATAGCAGCTGAACAAAGGAGCGTTTGAAACACTTGTCAATACTGCTTCCATTTTCAGAAGATGGCATTAAACTAGCCCCCTCACCTTCGCACTAAATAACCCTTCTTAAATTACAAGTAGCAAGGGAAGGATAGAGTTGTCCTTTTAAAGGCTATTCAGTCTTTTTACCTGTAATAAGACTCTCTCCCCACAACACTTCGTCACTGTCTCTTTTGCTGTCATGTTATGATACATTAACAAAACAGTCAAAAGAGTAAGTAAATCACAAGCATGTTGCAGAGCCTCCTCAGGAAGGAAAGAACATCCATCTGCTTTGCTTTTTACCTAAACCAATGCTTATAAATATTCATTTTGGCCCTTCTAGAGCCACTTCTATCTGCTACATTATGCCGTTCCAGAAGTTGGGCATGACATTGGTTAAGAACAAAACTCTTCCTGTTTTAAGTGGGGGATGGACTACTTTTCCTCAAGGGGTTTTGTAAAACCTTCATTTTATTAAAACCTGTATTTTGTGTCAAAACTGGATTTCAAGTCATTCTGTAATAAAACGGTTGCTATATTCACCGCATCACCAAAAAGAAGCATTCTCTTATTTTCAAAGATTTATGAAGGAGACTTGGAGAGTGAATTTAATAACTTTGAAGATTGGGTGAAAACTTTCCAGCTCTTAAGAGGAAAATCTAATGATGAAGTTCATGCTGAATCTGAGGACAGAATAATAGGAAAATTTAAGGTGAGCTCAAGTGCTGATTAAGTGTGTGATAATCTAGAGGCTGTTTATTTTCATGCATATTTCAGATATCCTGAGGTGAAAGACAAAGACATTGACAGTCTGTTATAAATAGTTACCTCTTTTACTGGATCTAGAATCCTATTTTTCCATTCACATTATCTCATAGATGAAAACAGCATCCAAATCCAGGTTCTCATTGTTGTTTTGAAATAAGAAATTATCAAAAAAAGTTTTGATCACAGTGAGTGGGAAATAGACAGAGTCCAGATTCTACTACAGATGCAGCTTCATTTCTATACCGTCAGTTACAGTTCTTTGCATGTAGTTTTGAATAATTTAACTGAAGGCTCTTCTGGCTGTTCCATTTGGAGACAAGTGCACAGCCTGATCCAGGATACCATTAAGCAATCTGCAAATGTATTTCAAAGCATAAATTATGTTAGTAGGGCTTCAAGCACTTCATACTTCAGAGGGATGAGTATCTTAAACTCATTAATATATCAGCGAGTTTGCAATGCAAATTTCTCTTCAAATGACTTGCCAGTTGCTTTCAGGCAGTATGATCTACTCACAAGCATGAGTCAATATTGATTTATATGGTTTGTATAGTGGCTGCATAAATATAGGTCAATCTGGGCTCCAATCTGAACCTAACTCAGTGGAATTACAAATTTACAAATGCCCCATGTTTTCTTTAGAATACCAATACTTAGCAAATTAGACTTGTACCTGCAGCTGCTATTTCATTTAACAAAATGGAGAGCCAGGAGCTCGAAGGTAATTCTTGCAGTAATTTAGATGCAATAGTAAGTTATAGAAGAGATATATTTCAAAAGATCAGGCCTAGCACATTGAACCTGTGCTCCCTTCCAATTGCTTTTTTGCACTGTGCTTGATGTATTTTCAATGAAAATAAAACACAATATGTTCCCAGGGTTGTCTGTGCATATACCCAAGCCCTGAAGACTCCAGTGTGCTGGAGGGAGGGCAGCCCCGTGTTCTGCAGGGGATACCGCCAAACCACTCCGTCAAAGTCCTCATCAGGGTGTACGTTGTGGCAGTAAGTAGACACATGCTCTTTTAACCTTGAAATAACTTGTGGATTGCTTTTCAACTCAGATTACATTCAGTCTTGCAGTGGAGCTTCTGAAGAACCTCATGTGTGTTACATATTTTTAGTTGTATTTCAGACAATAAATATTATATTCCTATAATATCTTAATATTAATATAATATTCTTAAATATTAAGAAATATCCTAAACTATTTCATGTTTTAAGAATGGATGTTTAGAACAGAAAATGTCCATTCCTTACAATAAATCCCAGAGATGCTGACTCAGACTGAAGAAATACTTTGCTTCTTCAAACTGAAGAGGCTAGAGCTATAATTAATGTAATACAGACAACCTGTTCCAGTCACATTATGTAAATGCAGCCAGTTTTAATCAGGAGAGTGGTTTTGCTTTTGCTCACATGTAAATGCAACAGTCTCTGTAAGGAGGAAGTGGGAGAATATCTTGTGAGGGCTGTGAATTTGGAGAAACAAAAATGGTAGGTGTTGTGGAAAAGGTACTGGGAGGAGAGACAGGGGGGAATACAGAAGACCAAACACTGAGGAAGCATAACATGAAAACTGAAAGGAGAAGATGAAAGGAGATGGATATTTCAGAGAAACAGGAGTGATTGAGATGGTCTAAGAGGGAGGATGAATGCCAGGTAAAGAGGAGACAGCAAACAAAACAATAAGAAGGATGGGAAGAGGTTATTTGTTTCTTGAGTGTAAAGTCTTCCTGAGCGTGAAGTCTTCCCTGGTGTCTTCTAGATACAGCCAGCCAGTCTGGGAAGCAGTGTTTTATACTGATCTTTGGATCAGGTCCACTCTTTATGGAAACCTTTCCAGTATTCCACATACATGAATGCAGCCAGCTTCTTCCTTGGTGTTGCTTCCTTCTCTCTCACGTTTTTTTCCTTTAACAGTGGTGGTCTCTGGGGATGGAGCTTGTATCTGCTGCACATTTAGGAATGCTCTCCTACTCCAGATCTTTCCCCAGTAGTCTGTAGCCCCAAATGCCTGTATGACACCAGGCAAGCTGGGCTTCATCCCACACTTGCAGGACCTCAGGGCCTATGGGGAAGCCTGTGCAGTCACTATACTACCTTCCACCAGGCCTCTTGACACGGTCTTTCTTCTTAACAGGCGTTTAACCTCAGTCCTGCTGACCCAGATGGCAAGTCAGATCCCTACATTGTGCTGAGACTGGGCAAAACAGAAATTAAAGACAGAGAAAACTATATCCCCAAGCAGCTAAACCCAGTATTTGGAAGGTCAGTGATAGCTTTATTTCATTTTCAGTAATGATTTCTGCTTTGACAATTGCTACCACTGCTGCTATTGCAAGCACTGGGTGCCTGTTATATGCTGCTGTCTGCCCACTTGAGTGTTTTATAAGGGTACTGATTAAAATGTTGAGAACAGGTGTCACCTTATATGATTTTAATTTACTCCTTTTTCATAACAGTCAAACACATCCTGAAATGGAATCTGTAACAGGTTTTATAAACTGATGTATGAGAGGAACTGAAGCAACAAATGATCTACTTCGCTCAAATTAATGCAAATGTTAAATTTAGAGTGAAATAAATATGACCACAGCAAAGTGTGATTTCAAAATATTTATTGACATTTCAAGTTGAATTGAGTGATAAATGAATCTCATAAATGTAGGATTAGTCCAAAAACACTAGGCTTTTGAAAACCCCCAGGCTTCCAAATGTGAGAACTAGGGACAGGCTGTCAGTAAACATCAACTTTGTTTTATCAAATGCTATCTGCTTCTTTCATGTGTTTATTCCACTAGCCATGATTTTGTTTTTCTCTGTAAGTCTGCCTGTTTTAAGAAGGATGAAAATATTTGAATTCAGGATGAAATTATTCTACCAGAACATTAGGATACAGAACCTATATATGTTAGACTAAAATGCCTCTATACCAGTGTTTAAGGAAAAAAGTGTAGGAAGAAAAGATAAGAATAGAGCAGTCCTTCAATATCTTCACCTCTGAGTTTCTGTGATTTAAGCTCTTCCTTAGTAGGTTGCATCTGAACCATCATGGCTGATAAACCTTAATGCCTAGATGGAATGGGCAATTGCCTGCTTCATTTGTTCCAGATGAGATAGGAATTGGTTATTAACTTGGACAGCCCTTTGCAGCACCTTTGACTGCTCTACTGGAAGCCTTGGGGCGGGTGGACCAGCACCCCCTTCCCAGCAGTACTATCAGTGCCAGCAACGAGCTCTCCCTGCCCTCGTGGCCCTGGGATTGATCAGCATGGACCAGCTGGCCCTATAGTCCCCTTTAAAAGTCCCTTTGTATTTTCAGCTGCCTTCTTATACCTCTCATGACAGTGATCGACACCGCTGAAGTGGCCATTGAATGAAAAAGGGGCCCTCTTCTTTATTTTTTTGAAACTTGTTTTAAAGCTTTTGCTTGGTCATTTTGTTGGTTGTCACCAAATTCCTAAATTCAAAACATGATCTGAAGATTTTGAAAGAAACCAGAAAGCACTCGTGATCTGGAGATTTTGGAAGAAACCAGAAAGCGCTCATTCCCTTTGGTGTTGTGAGTACCTCATACAGACAGCTTCTTTAACCTCATATTTTTCTTGCTTTCCCCTCCATTGGAAGGATACAGCCTCTTCAGGATAAACCAGTGCAGCTGACCAGATCCCTGCAATTGCTCTGCTTGCTGTAGCTGGGAGCAAGCTTTGAACTGTAACAGGAGGTGATAGAAGAGCAGGAGAAATAAATTACTTTTGCCCTGCGTGTTTACAGTGTGTTGAGATATTTCATTAAAAAAGCATGATCTACCAAACCACACTGCCCATTAAATAAAACAGTTTGCAGGGTGTGCGTATTGTCCATGTGTTGTTTGCACAATATTCATTACCTTAATCTTTCAGGCTTAAAAAAAAATTAACTAGCATGTATTTCTCAAATTTTGCTGCAGATCATTTGAAATCCAGGCTACATTCCCCAAGGATTCCTTGCTCACAGTCCTGATCTATGACCATGACTTGGTGGGAACAGATGACCTCATTGGAGAAACTAAAATTGATTTGGAAAATCGTTTCTACAGCAGGCATCGAGCAACCTGTGGGTTGCAAAGTCAATATGAAATGTAAGTTCTTCAGTCTACCATAGAGAGCAGCACATAATGAATGAGATTCTTGAAGAGATTTCCAGATGTGGCCAAGTATTGTGACTTCCCTAGCACAAAAGTCATAGGAGGTATTTTAATTGAATTTCACCACAAAGTTCAACACTGGCTTTGGGAAGCTGCCAATCTGAGCATGAAGTGGGTATTTTAAATTTAATACCACTGTTTTTTTCATGAAGTTTTTGAGATGCCAAACAGCATGTGTGTCACTTCTCTTATTGACAAACTGCCTTTGGACAGGCTGAAAGGACAAGTGAAAAATGATGTGTCAAAGAAACTGTGAAAGGGCTCAAATCTGCCCTCCGCTACTCAGCTGCAACTAGAATAATTGCAGCAAAGCCCTGGCACAAGCATGCAAGTGAGCGGAAGCCACTCCAGGCTGCTGCTCTTGCTGGGCCATTGTGCACAGCAGGTTGATAACGCAGAGAAAATCAACCTTAAATAACTCCAGTACCCTTAGATTGGGGCACTTACTTCCTTAAGAGATGAGTGTTTGGGGCTTTTTTTCTACAAATGGAGCACACTAGTGACTGGGACATTTTATCTGAGCTAGGAGAAAGCCTGCACCACCTTGTCTTGTGTTTTAAGATGAAAAAAGTGACCCTTGCTCAGGCCTGCAAAAGGAAAGATGAGACTTTGGCTTCAAGACCTGAGCAGACAGGGATGTAGCTCAAGTAAGAAGTAGCACTGGACAATCCAGATAAAACTCTTGCCTGAGCAGATAGCAGGACCACTGGCCACAAAGCAGATCTCCTTCTGGGAACTGTCAGAGCACTTTACTGAAGGAAAGCCTTACCTCTTTCTCTCCATTCTCCACTCTATCCTTGCAGAGAAGGGTACAATGCGTGGCGAGATGCAACCAAGCCAAGTGAGATCCTAACTAAGCTTTGTAAGGACTACAAAATAAGCGGGCCCTTCATGAGACCTGGAGAGATACAAGTAGGAACAAAGGTCTTCAAGGGACAGACGATCTTCACTGAAGATGAGAATGGTAATGAAGTAGTTCACTGTACTTTGGTTGCATTATTGGTTGCAGTACCTAGAAGCTGCCCTAGCTGCAGCTGGGGTGCCACTGTGCTATAAACACTGATGCTTGATAACTAGAGCAAATTTCTGCTCTGAAATACTTGTATAACTATGATGATAAAAGCAATGTCTATGTTAGCTACCAGTGAAGTTTAATGAGAGAGGATCTTAGACTGAAATAGTTTTTGATGAGAAACTGACATCCACATGGTGGTAGTGGGTGTACTTTGATCTAGCTACTGCCTGATCCCAAGGATGGAGTGCCCAGGGGTGGTTGTAGGATATGGGATGCTCTTGAAATGTATCTTCATCTGAAAGGAGTGTAGCTAGCAGGCTCTGAGACTACTCTGCACAACAAAGAAAAGCAGGGGAAGTCGAGATAGTTGGAGTCTCTTCAAAACTGACTCCCTATCTGAAGTAACACACTAGTGTAGACATACCTAAGCAGTGAAAACAAGATGAAAAGCATGTCCAAGGTAAAATGAGTCATTCAAGATGAGAGAAGTTTGGTGCATGATTCGGTTCCAGGCCACTTGCCATCTGGTCCTACCTTACCTGGTTGGCCTTCCTCCTCTTGGTTGTTGTTTACCCCCTCCTGATTATTACCATTCCAACTGCTCTTTTTAAGTGCTAATGTGATGCTATGTAAATCCAACTATTTGAGGGTCCATGAGGGCAGAACAGAAACTTTCAGAGCTCTCAGATTAAAAGAAGGGCAAAGGTACCAAGAATCTGAGGGTCCATATCACACCATGGGTGGAGTGGGCGTGAGTCATCAATGATTCAGTTTTATGCTTACAGTAAGTAAAAGGTGGGTGAGGATAATGCGTGAGTCATCAATGATTCAGTTTTATACTTACAGTAAGTAAAAGGTGAGGATAACGACTTTAAAGTGGGAAGAAAAGGAGCTGGAGACAGTAGTGGACACTGGAAAGCCAAGAAGGTAAGGACCTTGGAGACAGTAGTGGCAGCATAGGGCAACATATACTTCTCGCTCCTTTGCATATATTCTTCTTTAGTCAAACTCCTTTTGACAGCAAACTCCTTTTGATAGCAAAGCATAGTTCTCACCTGCCTCAGGTAGCACTGTTGGAGGGACAGGAGTTGATCCATTTTTAGCCCATTGGCCAGATGTTGTATGATTACAGTATTCCTGTTAGTTTTCTTTCCTGGCATAGAAGGGAATGTAACTGCTGGCAACAGAATCTCTAGATGAAAATTCTGATTCACTAAAATGTACTTCAGCCCCATCAGCATCAGACAAGATGATGAAAACCAACAGCAAGGAAATACAGACACAGATGGCAAGCCTACCTTCTGAAAACTTGTGTACACAGGTTTTTCAACATGTTATAAAAAACGGGATACAGTATTCTCTTCATCCAAACTGCTTTTCTGACATGTCTGTCCTGGTCCTGGTCTAGTCTAGAAAGGCACATCCATCCTTAGCCAGTGGGAAGAAATAGCTTTCTTGAGAGGATGAAAACAGTCCTTAGAAAGGTGTTTGTGACAAAGAGGATCCTTTATCAAGGGACAGTCTATCCCACTTGTCATTGGAGCTGCCTGACTGAGTAGCTCTGTCTAAAAATCTTGGTTTTAGCTGGCTAAAATTAGATGCGATGCATGACACTTCAAATGCATGCCAGTATTTATAGGCAGGACAGCTCTCATAAGCATAGGTCCTACCTCCATCTCAGAGGTATTAGGAAGGGCTTAATATTTACTGGTTCTATCTAAACAAGACCTTTGTCATCAACATGATAAGAAAAGTGTAAGCTGGTTAGATAACACAGAGATCCTTTCTTCTCACTTAGGTGCTTATCTTCTAATCCAGGAGAGGTCCCCTCTTCAGATCTCTGAATTCCTCTTGTGTAGTACAAAAGAGAGGAAAGAGAGGCTCAAGGGCCCAAAGTCTTTCTCTGTTTTTCAATATCCACTTTGTCTTCACTTTTCGAACTGTTCCTTCATGACTATGTCCTTCTTCTGGGTCTACCCCTACAGTGGCCATGCTTCTTAGGAGGAGACGTGCCCTTGCCCGTGGTGTTCAGCCCTCACATTTCTGCTCCTCCACTGAGATGTGGTTTGCTTCTCCAGGGGAGCCTTTGCTGTTGTCATCACAAGGCAAAATGAGCTATAGACACAACCCTCAGTATGTAATTACTGATAGCTCCATCAAAGTCTCATTGTCTTTCATGAGCCATAAAAAAGTCTCACATCTGCAGTTATCTGTATGAAGAAGGGACGTTACACAGAGTGCTTCCATCTTCTTGTCAAAAGCAGTTGCTGTAATACTGAAATGATCCATTGTATTTTACAGATTAACTACCAGCTAAGTGCTAATCTTCTAGTTACTCTAGTGGGTACCCTATTTACAGGAATTAAATGTGTTTTAAGACCTTTTTCTCCTTAGTTTAGATACATAAAAACTTGCTTTTAACTCAAGCAAAATTTTAATGACTATCTTTAATAATTAATGGAACATATTGTTCAGGGATCTTAAATGCTAATTCAGCTC